GACAGCTCGGACCTGCTACCCTGAGCGTGGCAGCGGCCTTGTAAGGTTGAGCCCGTTTGAAAAAAGGGAACGGGGGAGCGGTTCCTGGGCGTCTCTTTGTGGTCTGAGGTGGAAAAAGGCGCCAGCACCGTTCGCATGTGCAGCAGGTTTCCAGCTGCGTGGGCTTCCTTGTCCTGCCGTTCCTATGTAGCCGTTGGCTGCTTGAAAGAAGGCTGAAACCGTGCTTCTAAGTAGTACTTGTTGCTGTAAAGCCCGAGGCTTGGTGGGGTTTGGCTGAGGCGGACCCTGTGCGCTGCCGTGCTGAGCTGCTCCAGAAACACGGCCGTTTCCCTGTTCAGTCATGAAAGACCGGGAGTGCGGGATAAGCTGGTCAGCTGATCATAGTCCTGTGGGCAAAGTTTAAAAACTGCTAGGAGTTACCTAGAGAACCTGTTAAACTGTCCCTAGCACCAGGTAATGGGGGGGGGGTCTTGTCTAATAACAAGTAGAAAGAGTTAGTTGAACCACTTTCAGGTAAAAACTGCGTTCTAAAGGACTTTCCTTAAATGTGCCATATGGCCGCTGCTTTCAGTTCCTCGTGAAAGTGATCTGTCTTCATGAAAATATTATTTACCTGTATTAATGAAAATAAAACAAAAGATATTTTGTAGGCCCTGGATTTAGAATAAAGTTATTAAAGCCCCCAAGTCGAAACTTTAGCGCTAGAGAGCAGAGCTGCTTTAAATGAACTCTAAAAGAGATGTTTTGCATCGGATTATAAATATCAAGTCCATGGGGTCATACTGACTTTTAAGCACCCTGCTCTTTTTTCCTCTGGTGTACTTAGGCAGTATGTTCCTTTTTTGTGGTCTGCATAACATTTATTTGTTGCTGCATCCCCTAATCAAGGATAAATACATTAATTTTTAAATACTTCTGGCTTGAAATAATATAGATTTTTTTTCATGGAACATGACACACGCAAACAGACTATTTCTTGTTCATTCTCTGCATACATGGAGGCAATGCATACAGAAAGCTTTACAATCTCTCTGCTGTAATATTCACATACTTAGTCGTGGAGCGCCACTCCAAAATTTTATTTAAATTTTTCTTTGTTGCAAAAATCACTGGTTTGTTGAGCTTGTTTTCTTTTTTTCTTTTTTTTGGAGGAGGTGGTACAATGGGGTTTCTCTGAGCCTTTTTGGTGATCACCCCTAGGTGCCAGAAAGGATGTTTTTAAGAATATGTAATTCATATTTTTCTCAGTACAATGCTATCTTTATAAACCTCTTACGAATCCACCCATCTTCTTGACAAATAGGAATCCATTTATTAATAGGAGCCCATAAAGCCACATAAGTGGAGTTTGTGGCAGTGTTTAAGAATATAAACACTTCCAGGAAAATCTTCAATCTGTGACTTTGTCTACACAGTGCTAAGTATGCTTTAGAAGCGTGGAGCTTGTTAAAATAATAATAAATTCAGGTCTTGGATTATTTGAGTGCTCCCCTAACCTACTACCATGAGATAGTTAATTTCTCCTATCAGTCAGTTCCCAAACTGATCAAACTGCGAAGACTACAAACACTGAAACAGATCTTTGTCTTCTGTTCTCTTCAACAAGTGTTAATATGATAAAAATTCAGCCTTGTATGTTATTACATGGAAGCATACTACTGATCATGGAATGAGAGTTCGTTTGTTTATTTAATCCTCCACTTAGCGCTGAATTTCAGTAAACAAACTGCATGTCTCCAGTGCACAGTCTTGGACTGTGTGGTGAACAGTAGGAAAGACATGTAAAAATATAACTTTTCATTGTCATACTTAGAAGACTATGAAACTCAGAAACTACGTTTGCAAAGGTTTTCATAGTTTTCACAACACGAGTTTTGGATAAAGAACTCTGTTTTTCTGCTTAGACCATGACATCACAATGAAAGGAAATCTGAATATGTACTGTGTATATATAGACTTTTCAATGTATTTTCAAACTAATGTGCAACTAATTGATATTACTGAATTATGATAGAGCCTTAATGAAGTGTTTAAGAGCTCTCCATACACAGGTGCTTCCGGCCTTACCAGAACTACCTGTTGGACTTTGCCATTCCCTAGAGCCAGGAGAGTGGGGTAGATTAAAGCGTTCCAACGGGAGAATGCCTTAGAGCTGCAGAAAGGACCCTAAGTACTGCTAATCACTAACACGGCAGTGAAGTGCAAGGACTTGTCTTAACTGGATTCACACATTGTAGTCCAAGGGAGCTTAACCTCCAGAGGAAAAGACATCTCTTCTTCCAAGGAACACAGACCACCCAGTGGATAAGTTGCCCTTTGCATCTCAGTTGACTATAGCCTTAAACCTTTATGTTGAATTGCATGAGACAGTTGTTGCTCAACTGATAGACAGTTTGGGCAATACTAGTTGTTCTTTATTTAACTACATGTTGCACTAATACTTTTAAAATATATTAATCCAATATACACAAGGTGTAAATACTTTGAACTGCGCTCACTTCCCAATTCGTGCAAAGAAGGGGCATATCAGTGATTCCAGTTCCTGTTAATCTTTCAAATATACCTAACGTTGATTTGCTAGGCGCCCGTGCAAAACTTTGAAACCCACTTGGGCCTATTTGAAAATTAAATATAACAGAATTGTCTGGGTAATTCATACAACAGAAACTGTTCCCTTTGTTATGAACGTAGGACAGTTATAACAAGTGAGCACCAGCCCAGCACTCTAGAAAACACTAGCTGAGAATGTTGTACTTACATCCCTGACAATAATGAAAAGATACATGATGTCTTGACATAAAAGATATTGTAAAGTGGCCACACAACTGCATCAGGAAGACAGCTGGAGTTTATGGAACTGGTTTGGGTCTCTGGAACTAAGATTGTATATGAATTCCTTATAATTGTTACAGTAGTATTATGCTTTCTCTGTTTTCTTCTTAAGTGTTGTCTGTTACATTTTTGTAACTGTTGCTTAAATTGGAAATATTCATCAGGCCAGCAAAAGGCTCAAGATGTACGAGGAATTTGCCTTGCTATGCTGGAAGCTTGTGAGTGAAAGAAGGAAGAAATTGATAAACTTAAGCTCATTTCAACTGAATAAGGAAACCTAGATGCAAGAGGGGATGAGGAGACAGCATGGCCTGAGCAGTGAGAGGATCTGTTTAGAAGCCCTGAGCTGGGCATCTGTGGCTCCTCTACCATACTCTGGGTGTGAGACTGGTAGTCTCAAAGCGGGGAGCTGTGGTAGTTTGTGTAAATATACAGACTATTTCAGGGTTTTATTTACTGTTTAGGGATTTAAAAGGCAATCTTGGTTGAGGCCTGTCATGGATGTTTCTTAACTGTGCTAGCACTTTCCTTCATAGACAAGCTGTAAGCAGTCACCAGTTAAAACCAGATCCATCCAGCCTTGAGGCGCGAGGGATTTATAGCATTCCATAAAAGGAAAAGTGTTTGATTATGACCTTTGACTGGTTAAGAAGCTTCTTTTATGTACTTTGAAGAAAGTACATAAAAAGCCTTGTTCCTCTTTGCTATGTAGAGACCAAATTGGTGAGGTTTATTTTCACCTTTGCCACCATGTGCTCTCTCCTATAGCTAGTAATAGTAAATAAAAGCTTCTCTTCTGACCTAACCCAGAAGTATTGAGGATTTCTTCGACAGAAGCTTCTAAGTATTGTAACAAACTAATTAGTAAACTATCTTTTTTTCCTTCAAACAAAACAATAATACTGTGTGATACTTTACTTTGGAACAATTAAACGTGACTTGCTAATTAAAAAGTCCCCAATCATTTGATTTGAGCTCCTGCCAAATATTTACAAGTTGTTGCAGAGATAAGTTTGCCATATAGGATCTACTTGTTAGCATCTGTTTTAAATATATACAAATAAGTATTCAGTTCAGAGGATCTACAAAACATCTACTCCAGATAGCTCCATTCAGCAAAGGCCACAAAACACTTCCAATGACTAATCAGCAGCGTTAGATAACCAAGACATTAGGGTCCCTAAGATATCACTACGTAATCAGCAGAATAATAAGCCTTAAAAGATCTTGTACATTTCCTGTACCTTGACTCAGCTCAACTGTGAACAAACTGAGCCACTGACCCAGATAAAGTAAAGGACAGCACTTAGGAAGTCAGGGAAGATGCAAATAAAGAGTGGTACAAAAGCTTGTACTGGAGATGACCACAGTCACAGAGCTAAACAGCATGTTATCTTTGAACACAACTGCTACGTTAGCAAACTATTTTGCAAACTCTAGAAGATGACAACAGTGCATACCAGCAAGAAATTAAAAGGAATATTGGTATGTTTCACAGTCAAAGCACTGATTGTGGAAATGTCTGGAATATTAGCTCAAACAGAAACAGAGCTCTGCACACTGGTGTTCCAGGTGACACATGAAATTTAAAAAGGAAATTAGTCATTTTCAACATGGATAGGTAAAACGGATCACTCAGGATCACTGAGGACTTTATGCATTCTATGGTATGTCTGCTATGTTTCCTAGAATCTCTCAGGCCTTTAAAGCATATCTGTTATTGCACTGATTTACGACTTTGGCAAAGTCTTTAATTTGTCTTCCTGTGACACTTTGTGGTCATTGTTTTTGATGTTTTACCTGAGACCTTAAAGTCACTACAAGGCAATGTTTCTCAGCGCTTATTAGTTGAAGAGTTTAAAAAAAAAAAAAAGTCCTCAGCTCATCTTCTGTTCCACAAAATGAAGTGTGCAACTTTAATTTCCTGTCATTACGTTGATGTTCTAAGAATGACTAGCAAGCTGTAGTTTAATGTTACGGAACAGCAAAAGGAAGTATCTATGGCCTGTGGTGAGCTGAACTGTCAGAAAAGAGAGGAAACAGTCTGTTCACTTTCTGAACTAAATATGCATTGCATGAAGTCTGATTGCCGCCTACCCACGTGA